ACCTTTCTACCTACTCCTGAAAAATGTGCATTTATTTAATAGACTAATCCGAAATAAAGGTTCATAATGAGTAAGTAAGTTCCTATACAGGGTGTTAGGTAAATGGGTATATGAGCCGACAATAGCCCATGTTAACATGGTCATTTAAATGGTATGGTGAAGTCAGAAATTTGATATCATCCTTTTATTTTTTTTAATTTTCATACAAAATAAATTTTGTAAAATCCGATTTGTATGAAAATTAAAATAATTAAAATGAAGATATCAATTTTCTGACTTCACCATACCATTTATATGCCCATGTTAACATGGGCTAGTGGCGGCTCATATACCCATTTACCTAACACCCTGTATAAAATAGAGGTAAACCTGAGGCACTGTAAATGTAATCCGGTTCAGCAGTTCCCTAGGGCGCCATCGAAGATATCGTTGGATCGTTCGCGAGAACTTCCAATAGAACAACACTGCAAGTTACTTTTTAATAATATAANGTCGTGTTTGACTCTTGGACGGGGAAGTGGGAAATTGGAAAACGGTTTGAAACGGACGTTTTTCTTTAACAACCAACTACTAGAATTAAATTTTGAGTTTAAAGCTTTAAAATTGGATCAGTTATTTAGGATTAATATTATATTTTTATAGATTTGTCAAAAAACGAGTACCTACCTATTAATATTCCTCAGATAAATAGGTAGTGTTTCCACGGCTAGGCGGCACTATTGAAAGGTAAGTGTAGACAGTCAACAGCACTGATCCTTTAGATTTTTTGTTGAAAAATAGCACTAATTACAACTGGATTAGATACCCCAGTGTAGGTATCTAGACCTGCTGTCGTCTGTAGTACCTATGTGGTATGGTACTACCTACTACTTACTAAAGTCCCTCGACAATCACGTTAATTTTAGAGATTCTGCCTTCGAAACAAAGTTACGACTGTACCTACCTTTAAATTGTCGCGAATCGCTACCATTTCTCTGAACAACGGCGAAAATGTAAGTAATGAGTGTTTTGTGAGACGCCCCTAAACAGGCCCAATAGCTTTGGAAGTAATTGGCTTCTCGCTCATCGTTGTTACGAGAGAATCTACACCTGCTATTCTGCGTTGGAGCACCAGTATCGACTGCAGGCATTTTTTTTTCAAGTCTTTTCTCGCTTGTTTATGCAAGAAGTCCAGTGAAAACCTTAATTTAGATATTTTCATGCACCGAAGAAACAGATGTGCGACGAATTCAGTGATAATCCGAAGATCTTAAAAATTCTGCTGTTATCTGTGGCTAGATAGTAAAAAAAGGCAGATTGTGAAGATGAAGACTCTTGACTTATGATAGATGAAGACTCTTGACCAAACAACGGATTTCAACCATTTTATAAAATGTTACCTTTGACACTATCAAACATCGAACCTGAGGACTTATTAGAATCGCATCTTGTTACTACACCACCTGTCGTCTTTCTATATTTCAAACGAAGAGCCGCTTTTTAAGAAAAAGCCATAACAATAATATCCCGCGTCTTAAACAAAACGGTTCCCATCCTTTTTCCCATTTAAATAATAACATAATTTGTACGCAACGGTCTTTTAACACCCCGGAATTGCTCGTTAAGTAATACAGGTTAATGAGGGTCTCGCATTATGTGCCCCTACATTGTTAACGGCTGCAGTGAAATTTTCATCATCATGTTACTTAGCTACGTAGCCATACGATATTAAGCTCTTGTGAGGAAAACTGTTGGAAAGTGTAACCCTAAACAAATTATGGTGTGGGAGGAAAAGTAGAAGAAAAGTTTGGTTTTGTAAAGCCTACGATGAGAAACGATTGAAGGCGCTAAGTGGAGATTATAAGAGGGATGAAACATTAACAACTTTATGTGATACTTATTTGCATCAAAATGATATTATCATTACTGGGAGCACATGAAATAAGTAATTGCTTACCAGCTGTAATTTAAGAAGTGTGATTCTAAAGACATTTTTAAAGGTAAAAAATAAAGTCTCTGGCTGCTTTTTCATAATAATTACCCGGGGTTGCCTTTTTAGAATAAAATAACCTTAAGTTACCTACTTACTCCTGAAAATGTACGATTATACAAAATAGACTAATCCGTTAGAAAGATTCATAATGAGTAAGTATATAGAATAGAGGTAAACCTGAGGCACTGTAAATGTAATCCGGTTCAGCAGTTCCCTAGGGCGCCATTGAAGATATCGTTGGATCGTTCGCGAGAACTTCCATAGAACCACTGCAAGTTACTTGGTTAAGTACATATTCTTGTCTATACAATATACCCAAGTTGAGGCAAACAATATGCAGATGATGTTATTTACTGATAATCCATTTTGCACATGTAAAGACGTTCTCTGCCAGTCAATCACAGTACTATGTATTCTGTGGTATTGCTTCCTAGTGATAAGAAAATTGTGCCGTTTCAATTTCATATTTCTATCTCTCTGTCTCCATGATGATGAAGAGGATCCGCCGACTGGCAGGTAGGTAAGACAGAAACGAAGTTAGGTACCTATTCCTTAGGATAAATCCACTGGGAAAGACCCTTGTGTTTCTGCCCCATTAAATTTGGCGTTAGGGACAGAAACTTTACATTACACCCAGTAAAATTAAAAAGTCTGCCATAAACCTTTTGACTTTACCAAACCAAGTTGCCAAGTACGCGTAAGTTTTACAAGTTTTTATCTTCATAAGCGTGACCTTTCAGGCGTCATGCATAAAATATCCTGAAGAAACTTCGTTTAAAATTGATTTGGCCTCCATGACGAAGCACCATCTCGAAGTTACAGTCGTAACCCAGAATTGGCTGGTTATAAAAAGGGCCGAGGTCTCGCGATTTCATCTCATAAACGGGTGGTTTTTGTAGCCCAATCCTCAGGGGTCATTTCAGGGCGGCTGTAAATAAGAACGATACAAGAAGGCCCTGATAAAACGACGCACAGCTTTTGGGGCTGAGATTGAATGCTTGTTTGAATTATTTTAGGGTGTGATGAATTTGTGGATGTAGTGGAAATTCAGTGAACTTCGACTTTAGGCTTCATCGTAGTTTTTATTAGTTAAGTATTTTTGAGTGGGACGATCCTCCGAGATGGTTGCCTATTACTCTCCAACTAGATTACTACGTGATGATACGTGAAGTGGGAACAACGTTTATTAAGTATCAAAACATTTTTAGCATCGCGCGTTAGGTTTCAGTACCTCTAGCATGAACAACTTTCGTCTTCGAATCGTTTGCGTTTTTCGTGCTATTCCGTTCCGTACAGTGTACCGAATAGTGAATAGAATAGTGTATCGAATTTTGTCACTATTCGAATTCGATACTCAACCTTCGGAATTAAACGATAACGTGACAATTTGGATTCTCAAAACCACTTTACGACACGTTCACAAGGGCGCTGTTGTAGTTTTCGTACTAAACCTTTTGATGGCGATTCGAATACGCAAACGATTCGAACTCGAAAGTTTTTCGTGATAGCCGTACAGGACATGAGGAAACATTGCAGCAAGGATAGTTACAGAAGTTCGTTTATTGGTTAAAAGTTGGGATCATTTTGTCTTATGAATAAAAAGCTCTATTCTGCCGGGTCTACCTACCTCCCTACTTACTGCGACTTGTAAAATATAGAAAACATACAGTTACAAATATTCTGGAATTTGTTGGAAGATTGCCGGCGATAAGGGCATTATAGGCCGATCTAACTGGGTTTACGAGATTGCGTTATCACAACAACTGCGATCGAATCAGGCATGTAGGCCACTTCATTTCTGACACTTTCCTTTAGGCTCGTTTTATCTTTCTGGAAGCAATCGCCCGACTTATTCGGGTTCTGTCCGCTGTTCCCAAGGGAATCGTTTTGCGGTCACCCTCTTTGGGTTTCCCGAATGTTTTCGTCGCGATTTCTTATCAACACGCGCGGTGCGCATCCGAAGTCGTCGATGGTATTCTCTATTTTGTTATTGAAATGGTTATAATGAAACTTACACAGCATAAAAATCGCGCTTTTTTGTGCACTCGTGGCGCAGACTATAAAGAAAATCACATAATTTACTCACCTAAATCCCGTTGCTCTTGCTCCCAAGTACCATAATGCTATTTCATCCAGTTTCGTCGATCTTTGGTTTTTTCATTGGTCGTTCACCGATTCTGAAATTAAGCAAATTGTGCTTTTATCTGATGCTTACCAGTCGGCTCAATAAGGTAAAACGTCATCTGACAGGCTTTATCCCTTTGAAGGAACCAATAAAAAGTCTTATCTACCTAAAACAGGTGTAAAAATTCACCAGCAAGTCAAAATAAGAAACAGTATGTACTCACGGCTTTTCCCCTTATTTGCTTATACAGTGTTACGTGGGCCGTGTGAAATATTCCACGTAGCAAATTGTCGCCCCACGGGCCGCCTCCGATACCTTATTCATAGTTTGTTCTCACACGCCGAAAACCGGGCCCCTTTGAATTGGTTTACGAGGTGGCACACTGAACTTTTATTACATCAACGTGGAGCAATTTATGAACGTAAATTTAAAAGCCATCTTTAATTTATGTGTGGGTAGCTGAATAAAAAATCTCTCTAGTGACAGTAGTGACAGAATTAAATGTAACTTGTCAGTGTTGCCTACTCTAATAAATATTGTTACTAGCTACAATAAAAAAAGTATTATATATTTTAATTTTATTTTAATATGAACACGTTAAAAGAGCGCCTCTGTACATACAAGAACATTTCAGTCAGAAAATTGCGCGTAAGGTTTCGTAACTTAGATAATTCTGGAACTTGAATAAAAAAACATTTTAATAGGTATCGAGTTAATAATACACACAAGTGATTATAGCATGTATATTTTCATTTAATATAAAAAATTATAGATATCAACTATAATATTTACACATAAGTAAATGGCAAACAAGATCCAACATTGAAATAAGTAATAATAATGTATAAAAGTGCTATTTCCTCTGGTCTCGGTCGTCATAAGTCACATTTTATAATAATACTCTATAGCGAAGTAAATTATAATTAGAATTCTATTCACCTGGCGTACATAAGATACCCTTTCACAGGAGCTACAACGTTACAAAGTTTTTATCTAATTCCCTTTGAATTCCTTGTGAAGTCAAGAAAATGTTTTGGGAAAAAGATAAACATAACACTATAGTTAAAGCAAGTTGAAACTGACGATAGTTGGAGAAGAATCAACTGTCTCAAGCTGTGGAGATAATAAGCTCTTTTTAACGGTTCCACAGCGTTTTACATAACCGTTTTAACTGTTTTTATTTTACAAGCACTTTAGTTTAAACATAAGTACTTGAAAGAATCTCTAAAATATATTAGCTGATGAGGCTATAAAATTTTGTGGGCGCTTTTAGCAGTGCTTTTGTTATGTTCGTAATCTACTACAAGAATCGTCAGTTTAAAATGCTTACACAACCACCATAGCTAAGCAGATTTACTGTGTCTCAACTAACAATCTATAACTTAATTTTGGCCTCAAAGATGTTTTCTATTTCCCTTGCCAAGGATGCTATTTGACAACTTCAGTTAACTGAGATACTTTCATAGAGACTGTAAACATGCGATTTTTAAAGCCCGCACTGCGATCACGTCAAGTTTATTATCATTACACGGCGATAAAAAATAAAATGGCAGGATGAAATGAACACAGCTGTAATGTCAAGCCAAAACGTCACCGAGGATCATTGAACTCGTAGAAATAAACTTCAGTGCAGATAATTTGAGGATGTTTTATGTTTCTGTAATATTGTTTCATAAATGTAACGCTCTCTTTCCATGTCCCGCAATAGCTTTGGAAGGTACTATACAGCTGAATCCGGGATGTATCGTTCGCTTATTTTCTTAATTCTAGAGGCGGGCGCTTGCGCTTTATTCTGACAAGTGTAAAAACTTCCCTTAGGCCTGGTTCAGACAATGATAATCGCGCGGTTGCTGGACAGTTCTTGTACATTTGCATCAAAACGTAACCACACGTCTAGTGCCTTAGTGCCTCGACAATGAGAATCACATAAAAACCGCGCGGTTATCGCATATGAACCAGGCATTAAAATGTGATTTCCACACTATAAGAGAGGTTTTTAGAACAAGTACAATATATTTTTTTTTATAAAAACCCTTGCACTTTCTCTCTATTTTTCAAAATGTTACATTAATGTTTGTCCATGCATTCATCTTAACATTTCTTAAATTGAAATAAACCATTTTCAATAACAGTTTACACAGCACAACAAATAGATATAGAATATTAGTTGAGACAAGTGTTTCACGACATTTATAACTTCAAATAAAAATGTTGCCATATAGGACTCTCTAAGATAGAAATATACACTCTCTATCACAGACTAGAAACACAATATTTCAGAAGACATGGAAGCTTTGCCACTTCGAACTACGTGAACGGAACTGGTGACCTGACTCGACTACATACATACATAAATAAATATTAAACAACACAAATTAATTCTTTAAGCATTAATCATAATGTATTCTTATGAATAAATCAACTTAAATTAAAAAATACGAAATTAAAAGATAAAATTATGCAGGATGAAATTGATTGTCTGACTTTAATACAAATAATATACTACAATTGTTTTAAAACTACCTGAATTAAGGATTCTTCAAAAGCTACACAATTAATAGTCATCTAGAGAAAACAAAAATAATCAAGTCTTGTTTTTTAATACTTTATAACATACCCAGTTTATCTGAAGGCTTAAAATAATCCCTCCACTTTTGGGAAATCAACTTACAAATATCCGAAAATGAGGTTGGGTCAGACACATGCAATTTCACCCTATAAGCAAGCTACCATCAGTTCTTACTTTCGTTCCAAGTGTGGTCAGCTGTACCGTACAAAGTGCCAAGTTATAAAATCTTTGTAATCATTGTCACTCTCAGATCTATGATGTTTCAACTAAATCTTGAATTCCGATTGCACATTACACGTCCGTAACCTGCCATCTATTACTTAAGACGCAAATAACATCTTTATGTACTTAACCGACTTATAAAAAGGAGGCCGTTATAATATAACATAAGTAAATTAAATGCGGTACCTACAGAGAGATTGTACAGTTGTTTTATACTTACAAAACCGCGCGTCGATGCCGATACAAAACGTATTGATATGTACAAGAGATTACACTAAGCTAGTAACTACATTACCCTTACGCTCTACTCTATAATACATTACAAACATGGTACTCCTGTCTTTTTACACAATCGCAATGATACTCTAAATTTTAGAGCATACCCTTATAATACAACGAGCGCTTCACATATTATTGCCACCGAGAAATTAAGTAGTTTACACTATGAATCACGCGATTATCCATTAAAAAGACAACTTAATTAAGGCTGTCAATGAGACGTATATTTAAATAAAGCTTTCCGATCTGTTGGTATTCTTAAGATTTTATTATTCCTAAAGGAATATTATTTACTAGCCAATATTTGTCCAATATTCAATATTTGGGACCAATTGTGCCGTACCTCAATCTCACAGGCTCCCGCAAATAAAGCTACTTTCTTCGACATACATTATAACATGACAGTAAACGTTTCACTGCAACCTCATTCCAAACCAGACAAAATAATACAAAATATAATTATTTATTTATGAGGTTTTTATTTATTGACATTATGGAAAGACGGTGTATAGTCTGGTCTGTGAGCACATAGAATTTTGTCCAATGACCCTAAACTACCCATCCTTATCGCTCGCACGTAATTATGTTGCTGTCGCGCTCGCACACTCACTGCGGGCGCCCGTCGCACAGTCGCGACAGCAATATAATTGCACGCAAGTGCAATTATAATTGATAATTGATTAATTAATTGCAAAGCAAGCACGTGCTCACGGACCGGGCTTTAGTGAAAATTAATTACAACAAAATTATAATTGAAAACATGACATTATACTCCATTTTATTGAGTCAATGTAAATGCACTCATCGCTGCCCATACAAAAGCTTACCTACCAACATGAGGCTCAAACAAATTGAGGTAACAATCATTGGACGTCTACTATTTACAATTAACAATAGTCATTCAAGCAGAGAATATGTGATCGTCTACCTAGCAACAATAAAATAAAGGCTAAGATACATTTCACTACTCGTTCTAACCACATATAACAGGAAACTTAGGTATATCATCGATAACTATTCTCTACTCAAATGGAAGATTCAATAATCAGTGTAGTATTTTAAAAAACTATTATTTTATGTAACTGGATCACAATGAGTTTTTAATATATCATGCAAGTAGGTATTTACTTGCTTAATACATTAAATGCAAATGTGCATTTACTAATTTTCAAGTGTGTGAGAGATGGTATTATTAAAAAAAACAGTTAGTTCTAACATCGCCTGGTGTTTACAACCTTTCTTCGGAAGACTTACTTTGGATTTTCAATATCTTTATTACAAACATATTTTTTAGAACATTTCCCACCCACATCGCTCGCAAGTTGTAATGGAAAATTTATAGATTTAACGTGTGCTTTTAATAAAACAATGATGAGGTCAGAGGTGGAATTGTGTAAAGCAATCGTAATCATTTGACAGTTCATAACGTACGATTATTCTGTCAAACGCTTTGTTTAACTGACTTTATCGTACGATATGAACTGTCAAATGATTACGATTTCTTTACACAATTACACCTCAGATTTGCTAAGACATATCTAGATGGAATACTACATACAGATTTTGACATCAACATCTGCTCAATTACCATAAGTTTAAACTTGTCAGTCACTGGTACTGCAAAAAAAGACTACAACACTGCTATTTTAACACATTTGACAACTGTGACATTTGGACGTTACCTGTCAGTTATATTCACAATGTGTTCCACGTCTGTGTCTGTTCACATTCACTTTCACTTTTACAGTGCACTCACTGTCCAAGGTCACTGTATCCCTGTCAGTCGGACGAGTCGGCCCGGCCGCGGGCCATGGATCAGTCCAGCTGTTGGACTTGAACCACGGACGTTGGTGGAGGGATGGATATCTCGTACTTGATGAGGCCCGTTCCTCTACCCGTTGATAGGACCAGCCCACCGACTTCTTTCACATCGCCGCTGTAGGGAATAATAAAAATTATAGTTTTTTGAGTAGGAGGACTTAAGCAACTGAGTCAGCAGAATCGGCCAGCTTTAGGTGCAGTGAGCGGGCCACGAAACTTGTAGAATGGATGGCCTTTAGCAGATACATTCTCAAGTTGCGAGCACGCGGATGACGTATAATGAAGATTGGGCACTAGGAATTCTTGGGGGAAGCTTTTGGTCAGCAGAATAGTTAATTGAAAGCTACTTGAGTTTCTGGGCTAGAAAAAAAGTGTCATATTTTGTTAGGGTTGACTATACAGGGACTATTCCAATATGAACCTTATGTCTATCACATAGAGACGATACTCAGGCCCAGTTTCCATCAAAGCGGCGATGAGAGATGTGCAGCGAAGCTGGCAGGTTATTTCCACCAAAGCGGAGCAGAGACGAGACAAAATATGTGAGCAGTGGAAACCGGGCACACAAGAGAAGCGCGCGATTTCTACTGATGTTTGACAATCATTTCTCGCAACGCACACAGGAAAGTCAGCCCAATGACACGTCCCACGCCATTGTAATAAGGACCTTATGTCGCTACAATCTAGGGCTATACTCACGCGGTGTGTATCGCGCGTTTAGCATGCAAGTGCGGCGCGGCCTTGGCGTCACGAATGATGTGCAGCTGTGAACCGGCTACCAAGCGTCGTGTGCCGACGCCACTTAGTGACCCCACCACTATCTGGTTGCCGATCACTTGGCCTGACCGGTTCGTTACCTGAAGAAGATGATTTGAACATTATTCTTTATTCATTTGAGGCGAAAATACCTTTCTGGACTGCGATTTTTGAGTGAGTGATAATGTACCTAACGATACGGTTCAAATTGCAACGTAGGCTGCTGCTTCGGTATTCCTTAGCATGCCGTAGCTTGCCAAAATATTAACATTGCAACATCAACCGTAGCGTTAAAACTTCAAGGTTCACCCAAAAATCTCATGTCATTCCGTCCCGATAGTGTGCGCAATCTCTAAGTGTCAGTATCGAACTACCGACTAGAGTCATACAACATACTGGAGAAACTAGCGACCCGGTAGCCGCTAGTTTTTATATGACTTTATTTCAAGACTCGTCTATAAAATTATCTAACATTCAAACTCTTTTATAGGACATGAAATACCCATTTTATAGAAAAAAACACAAACAAATAAAACGTCTGTTAACGCAATAGATTACGCGATGTTTCTTCACACTTTTTAAAAGAAATTATACGAGTACTATGAGTACATGTACAAGTTTTCCCTCACCACTTGTATATGCGCCGGTTGATTGTGGTCCTGTTCTATGTCCAAGTTCGTCTGGTGCTGCTGATGCTGCTGTTGTTGCTGCTGCACTTGTTGTTGGACTTGTTGCTGCACTTGTTGCGCGGCCTGCTGTGCTGCCTGTTGCTGCGCTTGTTGTTGTTGCTGCTGCTGTTGTTGTTGTTGCTGCTGTTGTTGTTGTTGCTGCTGCTGTTGTTGTTGTTGCGTCGCTTGTTGTTGTGCCTGAGACTGGGTAAGAGATAATAACATATTTTTATTGATTTAAAATTGAATATAATCAATCATGTTTGTAACTATTCTCTCTATTTGAAAGATAGGTAACTCGTTTCATCCACGAAGACTCGCCCCACCATTCTTCCGCTAATGTTTGAGTGTTATCGGTATACGCTAAATTATCCATGAGTGCACACGCACACTACAATAATGACGCTCAGATTGCTTGGATCAAACTCCCCGCACCCCACGCTTCCCTCGACCAAAAATTGGTGGGGCGCATCTTCGTTGAAACGATCTATAATTGCAACAAATATGAAGAAAAATTTAAACCTGGGGGAGTTTCTAGGTGACTGGCTCGCTACAGGAAGGGAAGTTTTAGAACTTACTTGACGCGACGCTTACTTGCAAAGGCCTAGGGGTTTGAGAATGCCCAACCAGGGCTTACATTCAATAGATTTAGTAGGTTAGCTGCACTCACAACACACAATTCACAGCATATTTCTTGAACATAGCGGATCTTTACTCTGTTATTGCGGTTTTTCACACGTGCCAATGAGAGTTTTCGCGATTGAAAAATCCGCCAGATGGCAATACGTAGACGCGAGGTCCAAATGCTGCATGATTGGTTATTTTTGACATGACATTTACAGATATGTCAAAATCCACCAATCACGCAGCAGTCAGACTCCACATCCACGTCCCGCCATCTGGCGGATTTTTCAATCGCGAAAACCCTCATTGATCTCGGCTGATGTAGGTAGTTCTCGCGTCGGCTCTCTCGTGGCATGACAGCGTACTCATTTTAGGTTGGTAAAGGGTTTGGAATAGGGAATAGGGATGCGTAGCCAGTATTAAACAAAATATTTTTAAAAAATGCAGAATTAGTGTGGCCGTTCTGAAATTTTTCGCTGAAAAAATTAAAGGGCCAATAATATCTATTTAAAAAGTTTACAGCGCTTTGCTTTGCTATCTTGGCTTTAAAGGTTCAGCCTAACCGCGTGCAGCATGCGTGCGCAATAGCGATCAGACGTCGTGTATGAATTTGTAGCGATGAGTTCACATCAACGCGTCTTGTCATTGGTCGCGGCGATCTATGCACGCGCAGTGATCGCCATCGCCAACGCGAATTGGTCGCGTTGGTTTGGCCCGCAGATCACAGAAACTAAAGGGAGATGTGAAAAGGGGGCGGGGCCGGTGTCGCAACAATATGCCCAAAAACAGAACGCATTGCTCGCGACAGCAATGATGACAGCAGCGACGTCATAATGTAAACAGTGTACATTGCTTGCGTAGTACTAAAGATTATTCGACTGTTGAGTACTGATACCGCAGTGAATAATGAGCACATATTTTGATTACTATGTGTGTGTAAATTTCTAAAGCGACACTGTTTCGAACTCAATGCATTAGTTGGCATCTCTCTATATCTCTATGGTAATATGGTTCGGCCGAAGTATAACTGTAGGGGGTGATAAAGAGGGGATGATGGTGATGGTGATGAGACTCACCGCACGGGGTGGTAGGTCCATGTGCTGTCTCTGATGCAGCATGAGGTGGTTCTTCTGGAAGAACGCCTTCCCGCAGTGCCCGCAAACGTGCGTCCGCAGCGTGCAGCTCCCTTCCGGGTGTCTACGGAAAGAACAAACATTTTTTTTTACTTTTCTACCTACTTTAACCATTACTAAAGTCTGTTCGCCGAGAGTTGATAAATATTATGAAATGTCTTGCAATAGCGACTGTCGCTTAATTATCGCATTCTGTATGGCGGGCGTCGTTTGTCACAACGCGCACTGAGTACCATGGTACGAGCCACGCAGCTGTCGTCAAGCGCCCCGGCCGGCGGGCGGCGGCGGCCACAGCGTGACCACTTTTAGTAGATTTCTACTTTTTTGGTAGATTTGAGGCAAAGAGAACGATGATTTAGTAGTGCGAAATCGTTTAGTAGATTTTGGTAGACAATTGGTATTTTTAGAACATTCTTATAAATGGTAGTCCAAAATTAAATTGTAACCGAGCCGAGAATCCAGGCCAAAAAAAAGGCCAGGCCAAATAATCTACCAACTTTTTCATTATATCGACAAAAATAATTAGCGGGCCGCAATTCATAATAAGTTTAGAACCTCTGATATTTATTTTTTTTTATCAACTCTCGGCGAACAGACTTTACACGTCACTTATCTTATCACGCAGCGTGGAACGTCCACTCACAAGGTCGACGACATTATAAAGCTAGCAGGAAGGCGCTGGACGCAGGCCGCTACCGACCGGGCAACATGGAAAGCATTGGGGGAGGCCTATGTTCAGCAGTGGACGTCCTATGGCTGAGATGATGATGATGATGACACGTCACTTAGCGAACTACTTCCATGGAAATGACAAAGCTTGGAATCTTATTAAAGCAACAAAAACACTGAGGCAGTAAGCGGCCCGGTAGCGGGTCTGAGAGACACATAAGATTGAGGAAAACTCGAAAAAATCAAGGACCGAGAGCGTTTCGGATTCGTAACTGCCTCAGTGTATTTTGTGCTTTAGAGACACATTCCGGAACGAGATGATTCGGCAGAACAACAATGGACTAGTCTAAAAATGTGATAATGTCAAGATGCTATCAGAGAATCGAAAGGTAATAACTTTAAAAGTGGAGACATGGGAAAATAATTAGTCAATTTTAAAATTTTTATGACGTGTTAAAAAGGTCTAGGAAATAACTTACCTCCTCTGATGCGCTAATAAGCCGTGTTTAGCCGCGAAACCTTTACCGCAGTCGACGCAAAAGTGAATCTTTGGCCGGGGTGCGGCTACGTGGTGATTCTGGAAAAACAATCAAAATCAATGACCACTCATGACATAAGGTTCAGCCAAACCAACGCGATCACAGCGATGGCGATCAATGCATTTAAGTCTGATCACGTCGGTTGATCGCGTTGATTTGGCTGAACCTTAAGACACTACTATCAAAGCCCATACGTGAGAAGATAGTTGTAGAACTTACCGTAGCTATTACTTGCGTATGTACAACATTACTGGGATTGGAAGATATTATTTGAATAGGTTGAGCTGAAACAATAAAATCACATATTTTTTTATTAAACTAGTAAAACAGTAGGACTATAAAAACAAACATTAAATATACATGAAATAGCTTGAAACTATTCAAGCTATTTCATGAGTAAAATTCTCGGGCTATTAGCGACATCTAAGGTGAACAAAAGTAGCCCAAAGAATAGCCCACAAGATTCAGAAACATTTATACTTATTATTAAGTTATCTGTGGAGTAGTATCACAGACAACTTAATATTACTATTGGCAAGTATTGAAAATGTCAACTATTGAAAATCATAAAGGTAGCAGGAAGGCGCTAGATGCAGGCCGCCACCAACCGGGCATTGTGGAAATCATTGGGGGAGGCCTACGTTCAGCAGTACTGCCGTGCTAGCGATATCAGCAGCAACTCCAATCTATACTAATATTATAAATGCGAAAGTAACTCTGTCTGTCCGTCTGTCTGTCTGTCTTACTTTCACGTCTAAACCACCGAAGCGTTTTGATGAAATTTGGCATATAGTTTGAGTCCCGGGAAAGGACATAGGATAGTTTTTATCCCGGTTTTTTAAACAGGGACGCGCGTGAGTCTAATAAAGTTTTTCTGTGACAGACAAAATTCCACGAGGGCGAAGCCGCGGGCGGAAAGCTATCTATCTTCGGGCGGGCTAAATATCTTCAATATTTTGCTGTTAAAAATCTCCTGTCGGCTCATCTGAAATAAAGGTCATTATAGTTTTGCCATAAAATGGAGTTACTGTTAATATATCACTAGCACGGCAGAGTAGACATCTTATGGCTGAAATGATGATGATGATGATTGAAACATAAGAACTTACTCTGCGTAGCCTGCTGCGCCGCGGCGACCAGTCCGGGCTGAAGCGCGGCCGTCAGCGCGCACAGGTCCGTCACGCACGTGCGGTCGCCCGCGTGCAAGCGCACGTGAAGCGATAGCGCCTCCTGGGTGGAACGATCGTGATTACAACGGTGCTTGCAATCAATTCTTATTTATTTAAACTTTTTTAACACTATTGTATCATTCACGCGCAATGATAACCTAGTAAACCAAGCGTTATTGCAATAGTGCTAAGGCCTCAGCCTCGAGTTTAGCGGGCAGCGGGGCGGGAGCGGCGGCGGCGAAGTATTGTGTTCGGGGTTGTGTTGTCGAGATATTTGTTTTTATTCGCAAACGAAATGTCTGAACAACGCGGCGACAATTTTATTTCGATTCAAATTTATTCCTAACGCTCGATTTATTGTGAACAAAAGAAGGAGTGCGCTGCCCGCTNGCGAAGTATTGTGTTCGGGGTTGTGTTGTCGAGATATTTGTTTTTATTCGCAAACGAAATGTCTGAACAACGCGGCGACAATTTTATTTCGATTCAAATTTATTCCTAACGCTCGATTTATTGTGAACAAAAGAAGGAGTGCGCTGCCCGCTCCCGCCCCGCTGCCGCGCCGCTGTTTTCGAGAACCGGTCTATTTGATTTTACGCATAAGATCCTGCCGCTCCCGCGCCGCCGCCGCTCCCGCCCCGCTGCCCGCTAAACTCGAGGCTGAGGCCTACGAGTTAAAATCCGATTGACGCGCAACGTTAGGCGCTATCGTCACGCGTCACTAAGCATTTTACCTGGAGAGAACAAGCGTGATAACAACGGTTCCTGTATCAAAATCCACTGATTACTTGTTTTATGTTTAATAGAAAAAAAAATGTCTTATGTGCTGTGGACTGTATGAGCGCTTTCACATTAGGGCGTTAGAAGCGCAACAGCAGCGCGGCAGCGGCGTTTTTATAATGTGAAGGCATGCATCCGCTGTCACATAGTATGAAATTTTATCGCTGCTAAATCGCCTAAATGTGAAAGTGCTCTAAATGTGCAAAAAATCTATATTATGTACAAATTATAAATGCAATATACTTCTAGGCAAGATCACTTCATCGTAGATCGCATCTACACCCTACAAGTAAAATGATCATGAGCAAATAAACTCCGCTTAATATTAAACTAGTGTATACTTACTTGACTAACACTAACTAAATATAATCTATAAGCCACCACCAATGCATTAAAAAACTAACAAACATAATGTTTGTATTTACTTGAATTGCTAAAATGCTCTAATAATATAATCAATCGTTTCAGAAGCCCCAGATTTTGGCATAAATTGGCCGTTTTAAAAGCCCCATTAACCCATATGTGCTCAAAGCCATAATTTTCAATCTGTCAGTAAAATAACATTTAAACTGTCACTGTCATTCTTACAGTTCATCTATCAGTTTACTGGCGGGAATCAAAAACTGTCACTTTGGTAAAAATATTCAAATTCACAAACCTTAGTATTAAAACATGACCCACACTCGGGACACGCGTAGCCGGGCGTAGTTTTCTCAGATACGATTTGCCCGTCCGCACCTATCACCTGAAAGCACTAATTATGTTCAATCACAATGTTTTAAGTTTCATAAAATCTAATCTAAAATAATTAGAAATAAAAACATGAATTGGTCGTTCAATCTGAGGATTATTATTTGACTACCAAGTCTACTTTTTATTATTGTTTTCGCTTTTGCAGAATATAAGGCAGAGTGGTTTATACCATAACCTTTATGGCATTGTTACTCCGCGCCATTTCCAAATATGAGCAAGAAATCTATATCTGCTTTACTAGCTTGGACATTACGACATAATCTTGTCGTATCTTTGTCACAACGATCAATCTTAGAAGATCAATTTTATCGTTGATCTGACATTTATTTATTTCTCTTTTGTATCTAAAGATTGGATGTATCCTACATGACAATGTATTATGTAGAGAATGTCTGGTTGAGTGCATTCCTATACCACAATAGAATCTTTTTTATAGTGTTAATTTAACTTCTTGGAGTACTTTGGAGTACACTTTTCTCAAATCATAAAATATCAAACTGTTAAATGGTCTTACCTGCACTATTTGTGGTTTGAACTCCTCCTGCTAAGTGGACAAGTCATGCATTAATATTTTGTGTAAATAGAAAAAATACATAGGTGTGAAAAGTATCAAGTGTACTACAGTACAGTATACATAAGAAAAAAAAGGAGACCAAAGCCCGAATGGCAGTGGTTTTAGTATTTGTTGTTATAGCAGCAACAGAAATACATCTGTGAAAAATTAAACTGTCTAGCTATAAGTTCATGAGATACAGCCTTGTGATAGACAAACAGAGAGCGAAGTCTTAGTAATATGATATCGTTTTTACCCTTTCGAGTACGGAACCCTAATAATAAATACAAAATATGTATAAAAGCCACAGTTTAGAAGCTAGTGTTTATCACTTTTCATGCAAATTACACACATTCGTTTTGTTAGTTGTCTAATTGCATTGGTTAGTAACTATTAAGGTAAAATTAGTTGTTAGTCAGGAAAGAGATGTTAAATTTAACTCTGCACTAACTTGATATTTTTTATTGAGAATAATAATTATGACCTAGAGATTTAGCTTAAATCCTAATTCAAATCATACTATGCTAGATAGTTTCTTACTTGGACAATTTGCGGTTTGAATTCGTCTTGTTTGATGACCGTCGTCTGCATTTGTTGTTGCTGCTGCTGTTGTTGCTGCTGTTGCTGCTGCTGTTGTTGTTGTTGCTGCTGCTGTTGTTGTTGTTGCTGCTGTAAAACATTATTATTTTCTGATAAAAATGTCATCCTATGATACCTGCTTACTTTATAAAGCTATGTTTTACAAATACATAAATATTTTTGAGTCTGGCATACAATTTTCAGTCCATTTCAAATTTTTGAAGGCGGCAGGTCGTGCCGCCACATAAAAGCAACCGAGACGGGAGAATTCGATCGTTACGTAGGTCTGTTTTATTCGCGAACTGATACTTAAAGTTAATTAAAAATTCTCCCCTTTAACTGGGTGCATTCACGTGTAATTTAACACTATAGATTTGATTTGAGCATTACATTAACTTAACTTTGTCTCTTCAGAAGAAAAAAGTAGATTTTGTATTTGTTTTTTATCTATATCCTTTGTCCATTAAAGAGAAGTGCGTCGACGTCCGCCAACGCCATTACGTTGCTACCTATAAAATGGGACGCGAACAACGAGTGCTTGAAAGTTTTATTCCTTCCTCATTTATTTGTATCTATGACGTTACATTACACGCGAATGCTCCCGCGAGGGAGTACCTTATACATTACTCAAGTAAACGGTGGCAGTCTCCTGTCTCGGTCTCATATCGATCTTTTATCTCTATCGCGGTGCAAAACACTAAAACTCATTAAAAACTCATTAAAACTCATTTATTTCTGTAAATAGGCTTAAAAAAATCACTTTTACACGTCCCAGTATTAACCCTACCACTGCTTCAGGACAATAAATGGGCCAGTGCTGAGAAGAAGCAGCGCAAGAAACTCAGTCACTATTGTCAGCCTCTTTTTCAAAGGTTTACATGCTTTAAAATGTACAAAGTTATAAATATTTATGCGAGCTAGGCAGTAACGTATCCCAAACATTTTTATCTTTTAAATAATCATCGACTTTATAGTAGCCCTTTTTCATTAAGGTACTTTTAATATGTGCTTTGAATTTATGAATGGGTAGTTCTACAACAGCTTGTGGTAATTTATTAAAGAATTTATTACACTGCCATTAAGTCAGTCATAATGAACATGAATGATGTTACCAGTGATGACATACGGCTCCGAAAAGTTGCATCTGAATATAGGCCTCATAAAGAAACTCAAAGTTGCACAGCGTGCTATGGAAAGGGCTATGTTCGGTGTTTTACGAGATGGAATCAGAAATGAGGAGATCCGTAAACGAACTAAAATCACTGACATAGCATAGATTAGCAAAGCTGAAGTGGCAATGGACAGAGCACATAGTACGCAGAACTGACGGCCGCAAGGTTCTGGAGTGGAGGCCGCGTACCGGAAAACGCAGTGTGGAATGTCCACCCACAAGTTGGACCGGCGACCTGATAAAGATAGCAGGAAGGCGCTGGATGCAGGTCGCTACCAACCGTGCGATGTGGAAGTCTTTGGTGGGAGGCCTATGTTCAGCAGTTCAGCAAATGATTTATTTATTTATTTATTTTAGGAATTACAAACAAATGTGTTACAGAAATTAACTTATCTACTAGACTTATGTATTATTTATGTGGTAACACATCCCACTACGTAATCCACATATTGATATATGAAACTATGTAATATAGAGCGAGGCAATTACAATTAAGGTAGGTAACTTATAAACGCGGTGTAGCTCAACACCAAGAAGTAATTAATATTATGTTCAGACTTTTAATTATTAATTTTGTTCTGTTTCTTTTTTTTTTCATTTAATTTATCTTAATTTTAATTTGGTAATGATGATGATGATAATGAACATACTTGTTGCTGCTGCTGCTGCGTCTGTATGGTGGCCATGCAGTGGCGCGTCATTTTGCAGTGCTGCTGCAACTCCGACTTGCACTTGAACGCTTCTCCGCATTCGAAGCACGCGACCAGGTCTTCGCCCGTGTGGATTCTGAAATGGAATACAAAATAATGATTTTACTTATTTAATTTTTTTATTTTATTGTTAGAAAACCAACAGCATTTTATAACACACACAGAATGAGGGCTATCGTTTTAGCGCTCACCAGTTGGCGCCACTGTAGAGTAAGGTCCTGTCACTGTAGCGAAGACAGTGGCACCAACTGGTGAGCGCTAAAGTGGTAGGAGGACTATCGCATTTGCACTCATCAAGATGGCGCGTCGCATCGCATACTGTAGAGTAAGGTCCTCCTATCAATCGCCAGGGGTGCCAACTGTTAAGTATAAAAACGATAGCCCTCATTACAAAAATATAAGAAGTACTCCAGAACCTAGTTAAAATGGTAGGGTTATAATTTTCGCTTCGAAACACAAAATTAAAATAATTGAGTCAGAGAACGTTGTGCATTATTATACAAGTTGCCTCTCTTCTTGGCACAAAGAGAGCAAGCCTGCAGCGCTATATGGGCCCAAGCTAAAACTGTACGGATGCAAGAAGCGCGTGTTCGCTCCGGATGCATGCTTCTCGCCGCCCGGTGGAAACTCGTCTCATGGTGCGTCCACACTGGGCGAATGTTTGCCATATGTTTGTCTCGAAGCGCTGGTAGGGCCCAAAAGATAAGGAGACATGTAAAGTGCCCCGTAAGGGCTACCTTTATTTTTTTATTTTTTTGACGTTCATAAGTGCCACTTGTGGTCTAAACTGAATAAATGATTTTGATTTTGATTTTTGATTTTGAACGGGCTCGCGCGGCAAACTCGACATCCTGCTCACTCAAGAGCAGGGTGAGCAGGATGACCAGCGACCAGCGATGGTCTTCCTACATTTTTTTTACACGGTGGCTGATCAAAAGTGCAAGACAATGAATTAATTTTTCCTTCTTCTCTGCAATTTCTTAAAATTTTCATACTTTTAAACTAGTTTGTTGAACTTTAATCTTTTCATTTGATAGCTCAACTATCCCTTGTGATAAGGAAAAAAACTAGATTGAAAAGTATCCTCATTTGTAGAAATGGCATGAGAAAAAGTAATCGCAGGTGGCAATTTTCTAAAAATGCACAAAAACTTAAAAATCTTGAAAACGGTGATATTTTTACTGGGATCAAAATTGGACGTTAGGGAGACCATGGCGAGGCCTATCGATGGTTACAGGTTTATCCATTGTTTTTGGGACACCCTGTATGTATAAAAGCCACAGTTTAGAAGCTAGTGTTTTTCATTTTCCATGCAAATTACAAACATTCGTTTTGTTAGTTGTCTAATTGCATTGGTTAGTAACTATTAAGGTAAAATTAGTTGTTAGTCAGAAAAGAGAAGATGTTAAATTGAAATCTGCGGTAACTTGATATTTGAGAATTATGACTTATAGATTTAGCTTAAATCCTAATTCAAATTATACTATGCTAGATAGTTTCTTACTTGGACAATTTGCGGTTTGAATTCGTCTTGTTTGATGACCGTCGTCTGCATTTGTTGTTGCTGCTGCTGCTGTTGTTGCTGCTGCTGTTGTTGTTGTTGTTGTTGCTGCTGTTGTTGTTGTTGCTGCTGTAAAAGAAATGTCGTAAAATTTTATTATTTTCGGATAAAAATACTTTTAATTACTTTTTAAACCTATGTTTTACAACCTGACAATTCACACTAAGGCTGAGTTGCATCACATAACTTGTTTTTTGTATGGAGTTTGACAGATATTTGACGTTTGTTGTTGACAAAGTTAAAGTCATCATCATCATCATCATATTTTCAGCCATAGGACGTCCACTGCTGAACATAGGCCTCCCCCAATGATTTCTATGTTGATAGATTGGTAGCGACCTGCGTCCAGCGCCTTCCTGTTACATTTATGATCTCGTTGTTATGACGTCCCACGCTGCGTTTTCCGGTTCACGGCCTCCACTCCAGAACCTTGCTGCTCGAATCTCACTATAGGCCTTATACAAAGTCCACTGCTGGACTAAGGCCTCCCCCAAGGTTTTCCATAATAATCGGTCCAACGCTGCCCGCATCCAGGTTATTCTCGCGACTAATAGTCGCCAGATCGTCGGTCCAGCTAGTAGGAGGCCTACCCACGCTACATCTTCAAGCCCGTGGTCACTATTCGAGAACTTTTCTTCCCCAACGGCCATCGTCTCTGCGAGCTGTGTCCCGCCCACCCAATAATTATGTATTGGAGAATTAAATCTCATTGGTTATTCGAAATATTTCTCCGCACCTCTCCAACTTGCTGGAAATCGGACCCTAGAGAAATTCTCAAAATACGGGACTATTCCCACCTCTCGTTCCCACCGCTGCAACTCCTGTGTAGCCAGGATCTACAGCTTGACCGCCACAAAAAACCAACCAATGAAGGTCAAGTTTGTCCCGGGGGAAAGTTAAACTGTCATTGGACCCGCAACGAAATTAATCAGAAGAACATAGGAGGAGTTCGAAATTAAGGTTCGACTTCCCTTCGTTGCAAAGCGGATGACAGGTGACAAACAAAGGTTTAAAACCTTTATTAAGAAAAGATTATGCACCACGGACAATAAATATCAATTAAGTGATATTTAAACACTTACTTGCTGCTGCTGCTGCTGAGTCTGTATGGTGGCCATGCAGTGTCGCGTCATTTTGCAGTGCTGCTGCAACTCCGACTTGCACTTGAACGCCTCGCCGCATTCAAAGCACGCCACCAGGTCTTCGCCCGTGTGGATTCTGAAATGGAATACAAAATAATGATTTTATTTATTTTTAATTGTTAGAAAACCAACAGCATTTTATAACACACATAGAATGAGGGCTATCGTTTTAGTGCTCACCAGTTGGCGCCACTGTAGAGTAAGGTCCTGTCACTTGCTAGTAGCGAAGACAGTGGCACTAACTGGTGAGCGCTAAAGTGGTAGGAGGACTATCGCGTTTGCACTCATCAAGATGGCGCCACTGTAGAGTAAGGTCCTGTCAATCGCCAGGGGTGCCAACTGTTAAGTATAAAAACGATAGCCCTCATTACAAAAATATAAGGAGTTCTCCAGAACCTAGTTTAAACGGTAGGGTTAGCATTTTCGCTTCGAAACACAAAATGAAAATAATTGAGTCAGAGAACGTTGTGCATTGTTTACAAGTTGCCTCTCTTCTTGGCACAAAGGGAGCAAGCCTGCAGCACTATATGGGCTCAAGCTAAAACTGTACGGATGCAAGAAGCGCGTGTTCGCTCCGGATGCATGCTTCTCACGCCCGGTGGAAACTCGTCTGATGGTGCGTCCACACTGGGCGAATGTTTGCCATATGTTTGTCTCGAAGCGCTGGTAGGGCCCAAAAGATAAGGAGACATGTAAAGTGCCCCGTAAGGGCTACCTTTCTTTTTTTATTTTTTTGACGTTCATAAGTGCCACTTGTGGTCTAAACTGAATAAATCAAAATCAAAATCAAAAGTATTTATTCAGTTTAGACCACAAGTGGCACTTATGAACGTCAATGATTTTGATTTTTGATTTTGAACGGGCTCGCGCGGCAAACTCGACATCCTGCTCACACATGAGCAGGGTGAGCAGGATGACCAGCGAGCCGCGCGAGCCCGTTCGCCCAGTGTGGACGCACCATGGCACGTCTGTGCCACACTGCGCTGCTCATACTATTTCTCGATGCAGACAGTGCTGAAAGCTGGGACTCAGGCGCACACAGGGCAGGCGTGCGGCACCTTGCCGTGCACGCGGCCGTGGTTGACGAGCTGGAGCTGTGTGTCGCACTGTGCGCCGCACTGTGCGTAGTGTCGCCTCACGCTCGTTGTGGGGACTCACTTGAGGTGCGCCACGAGCGTCCGCTTCTGCAGGAACTCCTTGGCGCACACAGGGCAGGCGTGCGGCACCTTGCCGTGCACGCGGCCGTGGTTGACGAGCTGGAGCTGTGTGTCGCACTGTGCGCCGCACTGTGCGTAGTGTCGCCTCACGCTCGTTGTGGGGACTCACTTGAGGTGCGCCACGAGCGTCCGCTTCTGCAGGAACTCCTTGGCGCACACAGGGCAGGCGTGCGGCACCTTGCCGTGCACGCGGCCGTGGTTGACGAGCTGGAGCTGTGTGTCGCACTGTGCGCCGCACTGTGCGTAGTGTCGCCTCACGCTCGTTGTGGGGACTCACTTGAGGTGCGCCACGAGCGTCCGCTTCTGCAGGAACTCCTTGGCGCACACAGGGCAGGCGTGCGGCACCTTGCCGTGCACGCGGCCGTGGTTGACGAGCTGGAGCTGTGTGTCGCACTGTGCGCCGCACTGTGCGTAGTGTCGCCTCACGCTCGTTGTGGGGACTCACTTGAGGTGCGCCACGAGCGTCCGCTTCTGCAGGAACTCCTTGGCGCACACAGGGCAGGCGTGCGGCACCTTGCCGTGCACGCGGCCGTGGTTGACGAGCTGGAGCTGTGTGTCGCACTGTGCGCCGCACTGTGCGTAGTGTCGCCTCACGCTCGTTGTGGGGACTCACTTGAGGTGCGCCACGAGCGTCCGCTTCTGCAGGAACTCCTTGGCGCACACAGGGCAGGCGTGCGGCACCTTGCCGTGCACGCGGCCGTGGTTGACGAGCTGGAACTTGCGCGCGAAGGCAGCGCCGCACTCCGCGCATACAAAGGGCGATAGGGACCCGTGGAAGCGGCTGTGCATCACTAGGTGCTCCTGAGGAGAATAACAAGAGGTTATGTAGGTTATATTAACCGGCAGACAGTGGTGACTGAGTTTGTTGCGGCGCTTCTTCTCAGCACTTGCCAAATGTTGGTCTCGAAGCGCTGGTAGGGTAAAAAGATTATGAGACATGTAGAGGCTCCTTAAGAGCAAAATGACGATTTGTAAGAACTATTTATTAGTCTAAACAAATAAAGAAATTTTGACTTTGACTTTGACTTTGTTAGAGTGACAATATGGCGGCTACAAATGGCGGCAGACTAACCACAGGCTACAAATATCTATCCGCGATGCTAGCGCCACAACTACTCTAATTCCTTCATTAGGTATATCATTAGTTGATCTCATTTTGTAACTCGTATCACTTATATACTTGAAAAAGGCACAAATCAAGTCGACCTCGACGTGTATTGCCAACATCATCAAAAAAGTAGAAGAAGAGGTTAAATATCAATACGGGTTAAAGGTTTAGTTGAAATCACGCAAAAAGCTGGCCGCAGTTGATACAGGATAATCGAGGAACAAGACAGCGTGTATTAGGGAAATATACACGCCTCCAACAGGGCACATCAACAACCTAAAAGTTTAGGTTGATAATGCTAATAAATCGGTCAGATCTTGTGCACTCGTGCACCTTTATAAATGTGTACCTGTGCAGTGCACTGCACAGTCCGGCACTCAGAATACAGAACAAACCAGAAGTAGTNTTGGAAATATGCTACTTACGGATAAAACATGATCCCATGCACTTTCTTCGTAATTCTAGTAGCAGTCTTACATGTTGGAACGGCACAAGACGGCATAATTTAATTTTAAAGTGTCAATCTGACGGATATGTAAACAATGCGCGCGCCGGCCATTGACTAATTGCTCTAAAGTCAAATTAGTGCGTTTTGGAGTAGTTTATATGAATACACATTTACGCCCGTTGACGGTTTCTGGTTTGTTCCGTATTCTGAGGTCCGGCATAACATACCTCCTGTGCGAATCTCGTGCCCGTACTTTCTGCACACGAGCGGCCGATCACAGAGTACTTGTGCATTTATTTATACACCTGTACCAGAGTAAATACAAATGAGTAGGTCATCTTCATAGAAACGCACCGAGCGCGGTTTGTATGTGAGCGCGCCAATATACGTATGCGGCGCGCACGCACACACTGACAAAATTTCGCGCAACCATGACTGGCTCCCCGCTAAATTTTGTCAGTGTGTGCGTGCGCGCCGCATACGTGTTGGCGCGCTCACATACAAACCGCGCCCGAGCGTTTCTATGAAGATGGCCTACTCATTTGTATTTACTCTGCCTGTACCCTTCTGCGCAAATCCCTCGCCGCATTCGCCACACACGAGCGATCGCTCGCGGCTTGTACCTGTGCTCTATACACCTGTGCAGCGTACCTTCTGCGCGAAGCTCTCGCCGCAGTCGCTGCAGACGTAGGGCCGCTCGCCGGCGTGGTACTTGCTGTGCGTCACGAGGTGCCGCTTCAACGGGAACCCGCGGCCACACTCGCCACACACGAGCGATCGCTCGCGGCTTGTACCTGTGCTCTATACACCTGTGCAGCGTACCTTCTGCGCGAAGCTCTCGCCGCAGTCGCTGCAGACGTAGGGCCGCTCGCCGGCGTGGTACTTGCTGTGCGTCACGAGGTGCCGCTTCAGAGGGAAGCCGCGTCCACACTCTCCACACACAAACGGCCGGTCGCGGCTGTGTACCTGTGCATCGAACATTACGTCACGTTATTATGGAAAAAAAAATTACAGTAATTAATTTTCTCAAAAATTGGCAAGGTTGTAGTTTTTATTTTTAGAAAAATCTTACATACACAGTAGATTTAGTGATTTAAAATGGGAATGGACATTGATAAATCAGTGTTTACTTACATCTTGCCGCAGGGGGCGCACTCAAAGTACCGTACCATACCGCCACTTACCACGCCGTCGGGGCCCACTAGTCTGGTGATATTTATGTGCCGATATCGCCACACCTTATTGCTGGAGGCCCAGCAAGTCAGCAACAGTCAGGTAGTGCGTGGGAGAGGAGTAGAAGTCGACTAAACGGGTTCCCACTCCTGTTTGTCCCTGTGCAGTATACCCTATAAGCGAAGCTCCCGCCGCAATGACGTCACTTACCCTGGAANTTGCGAGCGAACGCCTTGCCGCAGTGAGCGCAGACGTGCGGCCTTTCGCCTGCGGGTGGAAAATAAGATTGGAAATAGGATTTGAGGCACTAGAGCAGCTCTAGTATTTCACTGATTTCCTTTCGTGCACAACAGATTACGCCCGTATTCAGTAACATCACTATAAGGTCTCACAGTGCGCGTGGACGCACATGTTGACAAACTAACTAATCACATAGCTCTGTTCAACGCTGTGCGTTCGATTTGCTGCTTCACATAAGCAAGCATCGTTTGTGAATACGGGCGTAATTTTGAACCTTCAGACAAAACAAAATTCTCACAGGCATTTAGTTAAGAGCATAATATAAAAATGGAATAAGATTCTGGCAACTGAAATTTTGCTGCAACTAAGAAAGGTAGAAATCAAAATTGTCCAGGGTTTATTCTGGTGGAAGGTTCATGTCAAATGAGTTGTCTAATGGATGAGTTTGTTACAGGTCATACACGTTATATTCTAGACATAATAGAACCCTAAAATGCGACAAACTATAGTCTTTTTCACCTAAGATGATCCGTATGACGTTTCGAGTTTGAAAGATTTAGAGATGTCACATAACTAAACCATAGCGATTTATCTATCGATTTTTTTCGAAGAGTTAGTAACACCTACTTTTAGAGAAATATTTTGTATAGGTGTTATTTAACAAAAAACATGTTTTTTTAATTACAAATATTATTGTAACAATTTTTTATTGATAACATTCAAATTTCACGGTTCGTGTTAAAAAAAAACGATTCCTAAAAAGTACTGGTTCTGTTTCTTTAAATTAAAAACTATTAATTTATTTTTAATGCGTTTATTAACGTCTATAATCGAAAAACATAGTTGATTTTTGTAATGTTTTTAATAACTAAGTATTCACTGCAATCGATTAATGAACCGTGGAAATAATCGATTTTATTATACAAGAAANTTGCGAGCGAACGCCTTGCCGCAGTGAGCGCAGACGTGCGGCCTTTCGCCTGTGGGTGGAAATTTGACATTGAATTATTTTGTAGCCACTAGAGCAGCTCTAGTATGTCACTGATTTTTGTTTCGTTGTGTGCACAACAGATTAATTTTGGCCTTTAGACAAAATAAAATTCTCACAGGCATTTAGTTAAGTGCATAATACAGGGTGTCCTGAAAACAATGGATAACCCTGTAACCCGATGGTTATGATATGGGCCTCGCCATGGTCTCCCTAACATCAAATTTTGACCCTAGAAAAAATATCACCATTTTCAAAATTTATAACTTTTTGTGCAAGAAAATTGCCTCCTGTGATTACTTTTTCTAATGCCATTTCTACAAATGAGGATATTTATCAATCTAGTTTTTTTTCCTTATCACAAGGGATAGTTGGGCTATCAAAAGAAAAGATTAAAGTTCAACTAACTACTTTAAAAGTTTGACAAATTAAAGAAATTGCAGAAAAGAAGGAAAAAATAATTCATTGTCTTGCACTTTTGATCAGCCAGATCATCAGACCAGCTCAGATACACTGCGCGTGGCAGGACACGCACTTGGCCATTTTTTTTGTTTCTACGTTCACCCACCTGTATGAACCCTCGCGTGCGTAGTCAGATGGTGCTTCAGCAGAAACGACTTGCCGCACTCGTCGCACGAGTAGGGCCGCTCCTTGACCGCCGCTGGGGCCACCGTTGTCATCACCGTGTTGGTATTCATCAGCTCCGTCTGCGAGTATACCGTCTGGTGTGCGGTTATTATGGGATCATTGTGAGGGTTAGATAAAGTCTGTGCAAATAGTCAAAAGTTGCTGATGACGACACGACAACGACGTCAATACGAGTCAATAGGGTATTCGCCACCACCAAACAATTGACGTACTTTTTAAAACTGTCAAAACGAGACTCTTCCATAGATTTTGTATGGAAATACAACCTTGTCAACTCAACTATACTACTTTTTTTCAATTATAATGCAACCAAAAATCTTAATTTACAGGTAATTTAAAATTGATCAAGTTTTTAAGACCAGAATGAAGTGCCTTATTTTAAAAGTTGTGCTTTAGAATTATTGGGGAGTGGTTGCAATACCCAATTGTGTTGTTGAATTTGTTCTCTGGAGAAAATCTACAGGCACAGGCCTTAGTTAAAAACCATGGGAAATAGAGTGGAGACTGATCAGTCTGTTTGAGATTACCAAGACAGATCTCTGTGATCTAAGTTTATTTTAGTACATACCTACATGGAATGTAGGAATGTGGAATAGATTCATGTGGAAACATCATAAAATAATATTTTTTATATTAGTTACCAGGTATTTAGAGGAAATTGATCAACATAAACTAATTATCCACAAAATATTGTAGTTGAGTCATGCTATATGCAATAAATAATGCAATACACTGCTATTTTTAATGCATATTCTAGCACCATTTAAAATATTTACTCTTATATTTTTTTATAAATAAAAAAAAAAATGAATTCTCCAGAGAAATTTACTTACTTTTGGTGAGTTATTTGCTGTGCCCGGTTCCTGTTTAGTGTGCAATATATGGTGATGCACCGGCGTTGTCTGAATAGTTTCCGTCTGCGTCTGTTGTGTACCCTCATTGATTGTTTTGATCCCACCGTTTAACAACGTATGGTTTAATTGAGAAGCATCGATTACTGGAGTGGCTATACCCTGAGCCTGCAGAGCTCGCTTCATCAAAATCTCGTTACACTCTTCCGCTGTCAACTGGATGGGCCCGATCGGTGTCATAAACGGCTTCGAGGTCAAGTTGGCAGCTGTAACCAAGATATTGTCTTGAATAAACCTTTTTTATCTGCCAAAACTGTTGCTGATTGTATCTTAAAAGTTACAGAGACAATTTTGCATAAGATATCATAATACCATGATTTGCCCAGTTGGTGTTGTGTATATTTTTATGACACTACAAAGCAACAAGAATATTGCTGTCATTGCATTTCACAAATTTTCTAGGAATAGGAAATTGGATAACTGTTGAATCACTTATTGGTTGGTGAATCACTTATTGAACTTACTTTCTGCAAAAAAAATCACTTAATTTCACACTTCATTCTGTGACTAGACCTTGAAGAATTTGGTATGTTTATTGACTCAATGACTAAACTAAGCTGAGCTAAAACTTGTTTTTTATCCTAAAATCAATTAAAGGACTGTTGAACAGACATTACTAAATTTAAATGTTGCAAGTAATCACTTCTTTTAGCAAAATTAAAAAAAAATGTCTATGAACTAGCATTACTGACTTAATAACATGCAAGGTATATCCAAACTACTTCAGCCAATATCCATTTATTTAATATTTCAACTCACTATGTATGGTAGCTGTCTGGTTTTGTTGCGATACCCTGTTGATAGTATGTGTTGGACTCTCATTCAGCACAAACATGGCTCTTCGACCGGCCGGTGCGTTCGCCGTGACAACTCTAGTGACCTGCGCTGCTGTGTTGGACACCGCTACGACTGTGCCAACCTTCTCTTGGACCTGCGGTGACTTGTGCGACATAACAGTCAACGTTGTCTCGGGTGATACCTGAAAAGTTAACAGTAAATATTATTTTCATCAACAAAATTACTTTGTTTGCTCTGAAAAGGAATTCATAATTAAGTTAAGCACTTTAGCCTGTTAATAAACTAAAGTTTCAAACTTTAAATCAAGGTTTTCTACTCTTGGCACTTAGTTTTCTTTTAGAAGGCTTCACAGAGAAGCTTTGATAGAATTGGTTAATGTTAGAATGTCAGGAGGGCAAACTGAATTAAAACTTAGCTAAAAAAAGTTTGTTTTATCAACTTCATCATAATATTGTGGAATAGTGGAATATTATTCCACTGATATCACCATGGATTCAAGTCATGTCCATGTAACTTTTTATCAGAAAAGTATTGGAGTGATGAATGTGTGTACTAAAATATTTGTAAACAAAAATGTATCACTTTCAAAACTTGTACTTCTCAAAGGTGAGTGATAGAAATGCTCTTTACAACAGCTATTACAATTAACTTGGGTTAATTACATCAAATTAGTCAATTTAAAGCTTACCGTGTTCCCGAGAGTGTAGCTCATGCTACTGGGAGTCTCCACCTCGCCCTTGGTAAGGTCCGCAGAACTCGTAAAGCCCCACGAATACCCGAAGCCCGAGACATTGCTCGGCGTAGGCATACACATTTTCAACACCAAAATACTAACACAACATAAAAAAAACAAACCCACTAACACAAATTCACTATTTGATGGTAAACAGTCCTCATGACAGTTTTAACATGTATGTACGCTTTCACACAACTACTAACGCACAACGGCACAACGCACCCGTCAATCAAATCGCCGACTACACCACATTGTAGTGCAAGTTGATACCTCTCGGCAATAAAGTGCATCCATTGAACTTAATTTACACATAAAAAAGCCATTAGAATTGGCATAATCAGCTCAATCTAAAAGGCGGCGTAAGACAACGACGCTGTAAGCAACACTGACACGCACGTAATCTTGGTCAGTATTTGGAAAACAGGGTCTTTTAATCGCTATATTTGGACTCATATTAACAATTAAATTCAAAAAATCTTAGAAAAACATTTAAAAACTAGTTACATTTACTATTTTATTGAAAACAATAATTTCCTCGCACACACAAAAAACCGAACGCCATTTTTGTTGTTTATGGTTAACAAACTTTTTTTTTATCATTCGGCCAAAAAAATATTTTTATACCGCTATTTTACACGAGCGTATTGTTAACGTTATTTCAATTTTAAGTTATCTCTTTACAGTATCACTATCAAGATCGTTTATTCAAATGGCAATGCCAGGTTTTGTATGGAAAGTGGCGTCTTTTTTTTCGCGCGGCCATCGATCAAACTTTGTTTTTTGATTACAAAATAGTGCTATAAACCAAACTCACTATCGCATGTATACCTACCTCTAGAGATGGGTAGTGGGTAAAAACCCATTTCACCCGATTGGGTTAAAACTGGGTGATTTGGGTAAAAACCCGGTTTTTACCCATTATCACCCATTCTGGTGGGTGAAAACAAAAATAGCGTTTTTTTAAAGTGAAAAGTGGTATTTGTTGCTAAGGGGGCGTTCTAGCGTTACGTAATGCAATCTGGGGGGAGAGGAGGTCTTGAAAAACGTTACAATGCGTTACAGTGGCGGAAGGGCGGTTCGATTACAAGTTTTTAAGCAGAAGTACTTTGTAGTTGGTGTTGTTATTTGTAACTTTATACCGTAATGTCATCAAAGAGAGAGTTTAGCATCTTTGGCATCCTCCCCCCCCCCCCCTCCATGTCCTTGACATGATCACAAATTATTGTGTTCCTACTAAATTTCTTCTAAATCGGTTCAACGATTCTTGAAATAACACCATTTTATAAAATAATTGGTCACATCATCATAACGTGATCAATTTTACGATTTGGCCACAATATAAATGCATATTAGTGTTAAATTTGACTTATTACTTATTAATCAATAAACTTAAATGAGAAAAATTCAATAAAAATAAAGAAAAGATACCAATTGAAATAATTATAAAATTATTTGTTTTCACCCGGTGTAAACACCCACGGGTGGAATGAAACGGGTTTTTATTGGGTTTTTACCCTCATGTGGGTATTTACCCGGGTGGAAACCCATCTCTACCTACCTCTAAACTCAGTCTGAACTGAGTTACGAGCATTAGAAGTTTGATGATTTTCATACTAGATTTGCTTCTTGTGCGCAAGTTTTGTAAGAAATTGCAACAAAATATTGCGCTATTTTTTTATTGCGCTGATTCTGCTCCATACTGATGTCTGGAGCCTTTAATGGATGGTATTGTTTGTTTACACATACAACCTTACTAGTTTGTTGCAATTTCTTACAAAACTTTGCTCGCAAAAAGCAAATCTAGTAAGAAAATTATCAAACTTCTAATGCTCGTAACTCAATTCAGACTGAGTTTAGAGGTATACATGTCATAGTAAGTTTGACTTATAGTTTTCCCCATTTGCCATGAGAACTCACTCGATTCTGGTGGAGTGATTAATTATTTTATGACGGATTTACACTGCGCGGAAATTATCCAAGTCAAGTAAAAAAACAGTGAAGTGGGGATAAAATTCATTCATTTTTCATCCCCACTCCACTGTTTTTTTTTTAATAATTTTAATAGGAAAACCAAAACCAATACAATACAAATAATGAGACCTAAAATTATGTATCTGCATAGCCATTTATAGGTAATCGCAAATGGAATTTTGACTTGACTTGGCTAATTTCCGCGCAGTGTAAAAGCGCCTTTGCATATGAAAACCAAAGTGATTGCTTGCAGAATCACAACTCCAACGATAATTTTTATTACCGGTAACGTTATTTAATTATTGTCTATGTTTTTTTTTGCGTTTCGTTAATGCATCAGTTTTCACCCACACTAGAACATTGCCAAAAAACAACAAAACGCACATGACTTGACTACTGTCAACTCCTCATCAGCTGTCAAAAACCGGATTGTGGTCGCTATCGTTGTGTAAAAATTGCAAATTTTTATTTAATTATCTGCGTACTTTAATGATAATCTCTCAAGAGATTTTATATTCTTCATATAAATAAGGATATTTACTCAATTCACAATAATGAATCCAATGTCAATGGATAGAGAAGAGCCATCATCTTTGTTGTCATTTTCTTCAACACAGTCCCTCGAACAGTTTGTGCTTTTAGCCAAAGGTGCTAAAGGATTTGGATGTGCAGAGCTTATAAAACAAGTTCTGGAGGCTCCTGGAGTGCATGTATTTGGGGAGCTTCTAGAAATGCCGAACATCAAAGAGGTTAGAATGCTGATTGTATTGTGCTTATCATCCCTGTAAAACACTTTATTTTCAGATTTACAGTGCACACATAATCTGTTGTCATTATTTTTTTCATATTGCTATAATTCCTGAGGCTTACAAGCCTATTCTAAAAGCCTCTTGTGCTGGGACTTCTCATACAATTTAAAATCCAATAAAATGTTACTCTACTCAAACCATCCAACCAATTTCATGTCCTAGAACTTCAAGACACATTACTCATCATATCTGACAGCTGTGCTAACTAGCAGTGGAAATAATTTAAAGCAAATGTTACTTATTTCATTTGGTTTACATGTTTTATTAATGCTGCTGTTTTTTTCCTCAATAAATAAAAAAATAACACAAAATCTTCAATATTCATATGAAATCTGTTTACTATTACAGCTGGAAGATGGACCTTATGCAGCTCATCTTAGAACACTCAACCTCTTTGCCTACGGCACATACAAAGATTATTTGGAGAATAAATCGGAATTCTTGGAGCTGACCCCAGCACAATGCAAGAAGTTGCAGCATTTAACCATTGCCACGCTGGCCACGCAAGAAAAATGCATCCCCTATAGTGTGTTACTGAAAGAACTAGACATTAAAAATGTGAGGGACTTGGAAGATCTCATCATAGAAGCTATTTATGCAGGTAATTATAAATTACTTTTATTACCTACCTACTATAGTTTTCAGTAAATGTAATTGCTATTTTGAAAGTTTTTGAGTCCTATTGTTGCATGATTGAGTAGGCAGGCAAGCTGATTTTTCCATAGATGGCATCTGTCTACATCTTTCAGATGAGTTTTATGTAGGAAAAGCGTATATAATCTATGATTTTAAACTTATATTACTCACCCTATTTACATAATTAAATTTCAGACATAATTCACGGCAAACTGGATCAAGAATGCAAACGAGTGGAAGTAGACGTAGCTCTAGGTCGTGATGCCAGGCTTGAAGATGCAGCGTCCATCGCAGATGTGCTCGCAGACTGGTGCAACGCTTGTGAAGCCGTGCTCAGCTCCGTTGACCGTCACATACAGCGTGCAAACCACAACAAGCAGAGAGCTATAAGGCACCAGCAGGGTATTGAGCAAGAAGTAAGTGTAATCAAATAGAAATAAATACTTAGTTAGACTGGGCTTTTTCCACAGTGAACTTCTTTGTGGCCATATAAGAAACACTTGTGCTCATTGTTAAATTCGAACTAGTGATTGGAGGAATTAAATCACTGAATACTAAGTACCATTTAAATTGCTAATAATCTGCTATCTAAATGTGTGTAAATATGATTTGTCAAATTGAGTGGGTCATTAAATAAAAAGCTCCTTTTGTTTCTTGTCCTATAACAGTTTTTGCTCTTTATTTTCAGATTGTTTACATAAAGAAGACACTAAAAACTCAATTGGAGAACGAAGACTCTGCTGCGGGTGGAGGTAGTGAGACACACTCAGCACCAAAGAAGAACTCCGGCAAAGGCAAGACTCCTCGCACCACCGCCAAGTTCTGGCAAAAGAACACATAACCTTATTAATCTGATAAAAAATATACAAACAACTTTATGTGTGAGATTGCTCAAGGAATAGAGAATTTTTGAGGATATTGTGATGGGATAGTTAGTAATGTGATTGCAATAAAACAGACCAGCCAACCAATTATTGAGAGACGTTTTGTAAAACTCAAGCAACCTTAACTGTAACATATTCTCAAAACATATTGGCTCTATTAATGGTCCCTGATTAGCAGAGGCAGTTTTAGCTGTAGATCAAGAATTGTTGTTTTGTTTGCAACAAAAGCTATACTGTCCCAAACTTATTAATTACATCTCATGCATAGAATTGCACGTAAAGCAATGTGATAATGGTAAAAAAATCTTTAGGTGTACTGTGTTTATGTTAATAATAGTGTTGATTGATATTTTTAATTCGCCAAAACCATCTAAAAATCTTCAAAACATGTATCGTTCACAGCGTAAAAGCGTTTTGTTTGAGAATGTATTGATATTCAGCTGTCCATTATGAGGTACATCAAAAATATGAAATGATTTTGTATATTGAAGCGAAAATTAAATAACTTGTAAGTAAACGTTTTTTTTCTTTTCCCAAATATCCAAATTGTGAAAACCTTTATTAATCTAAGGTGAAAACTTATTTCAAATATTTAAATGAATTTATTTGTATTTTTCATGTATTAAAAATTTCTTTTTCGTTATTATTACACAAGCACGAGACTTGTTTACTATTGCTCTCGGTGAGATACGCGATAAATCGTTGTTTTTTATTCTGTTTCTACTATACTATCCGTTACGATAACTCGCGTTTCTTCCGAAAGTTTAACTATTCACGAATTGAACTGCGCCTGATAATTTAACATAGCAATATCCTCACATTTGCTAATGAAAGTTATCAGGCGCTTAGAATTTTTCTTGCTACGAGTATTGTCTCTATTATTATTTTGTAATATCTTTATATTATTGCATAAAGCTCATGAAAACCTGAAAATAATATAACTTCCAAATAGAAAATCTACGGTAAGAAAACTGGGTTTTTATGCCAGCAACCCAGTAATGTCAGATGCGGGAGTGGGACGCGATGAGAGTTTTACTAGGCGCATGACCGAGAGCGCGAAACGCACGAACTGAGACGAGCGGCCCCGATTGCCTGTGTTTTGATGTTGACGCAGAAGCGCATCGGAATAAAGTGCGCAGGCAGTGCAACGATTATCACGTTCGCAGGCCTCTAAAGTGATGTAAATAACACATAAACTGTAAAACATCGTAAATAAATACGTCGGCACGTAACAAATATCATCTGCCGTAGTTGTAAAGGACTCGGAGCCGCAGTGTGATCGTTCACAACACCATAGCAACGGTTCAGTGAGAAACGACGACACAAGTGACGGTCGCGTCCTGATACAATGAATCCGTGATAAAACATCAAAATAAATAAACTTTGGAGTTGATAGAGACATTTTGTTTCCCGGAGTGCCACAACTCGAGGGCCTTCGTGTATTGGATGAACAGAAAGGCAAGTAGTAGTTAGATGCCCTTTGTTAGGTCGTATTATTCACCTTTCACGTCAGACCGTTCGAGCGAATTCATGGTCAGCACTGCACTGTTTACCTCATCATCACACAATCATGAGCATCGATTTATGCTGCGAGAACCGATTATTTTATTCTTACTGTTTATTTTCCATCACTATTAAGTAGGAAACTTGTTAAACGATAGCAATAAATGCCAATTTTAGATGTAGGTAAGTATGGTTGACGTATTAAATGTCCTTCAAGGTTATCAGAGTTATAATCAATAAGATGCGTGCATAACAATCATAATAGTGATTGTTGTCGTTGTATGGGTTGGGTGGTTCTTTGTTGTGCAGTCAGCTGTTCGGGGCAGGCGGGGGGAGGAAGAGGGAGGGGGGGACCAGACGACTGGTCGCGCGCGCGCCTTGTATTGTCTCCCCACAAATACACGCCATGGGACTGTGCCGTCTGCGACTCTGCAAGGGGTTTCAGACCAAAATAATGAATTGGTCGTGTGCCCCCTCTGAGCGCAACAAAAAGGAGTTTTTGTCGGACTCCTCGAATAATGGATTGCCAGACACGCGCTCTTTTTTTTATTTCACTTCGGTACAAGTATTGTTAGTAGGATGTTGAAAGTGGTTGAAAGCATACCTATTAACTGAACAAGACTATTTAGAGGGTAGTAGGTACCTACGGAGGTACCTACCTACTACCTGTGGTGCTACCTACATAGTCCTACGTCCTTCTTGATCTGATCTTATGGTAAAAAGACTAATTAATCCATTTAATTCTTAAAAAGAGATAGATCGGTAGGTACTCAATTATACAGAGTAGATACATAAAAGGGTACCTACTGTTATTTTATTTTTAGCTGTTACTTTTATCATTCAGTACACAGGATAATGGCAAAAATAAGAAAAACGACACAATTTTGGACGTACTTAGATAATATTTTAAATTGTTTAGGTAAACTTAAATTAAGCAGCTCTTACTTACATCTTGAACAAATCTTTATCAACATGTCCAAGAAAACATTTCAACACGAAGAAGTTGTAAAAGAAAAAACTACACAGACGACGTAATAATATTATTAATAGACTTCTGTCTATTACCAAATTAGCAAAAATAAGTTAGTGGGTTTGTCAAATCGATACTAAAAGGAAAGACGTCGCGACGTCCTATTTCGATTGAATTACTTTCCATTCCATCATCCTTTTCAGCTACTATTTCGATATTACCGTTTCTTCCCATTACTATAGATTCCGTTTCTTCCCATTACTATACATTCTACGTAGTTTATTTTGATGCTCAATAGTCTTATAGAAAGACCAGCCATCATCAACAGCCATTCCCGCCATGTTTTTATGGAACCAATACAGTATTGTAAATTTTAATTCCTAATCTTTTTTGTTAAATTAAGCCGTAAAGTTTATTGTTACATAAATAAAACACTTTCCTAATTCCTTTTTCATGCGAACAGCAGCAGAATCAACTGCCAATATTATTATTTTTCCCCGAAAACGAATTACTGGCTAAATTATAGAGCATAGAAGTCAAGGCTACGGTGAACAAGCATTTTCCTAGCACGCATTCAACTCTTTTAGTCACAGCTCTTTCAGTTTCTGTTGATAAGAAATTGCTTTGTACCATGATTGGGTTAATTTGATTAGGTAATCATACTATTTTGGCCAATTCGATCAAATTTTGAAGCTCTACCTATCAAAGGAATCGTTATGTAACTTTAAGCAAGAAAAAATACGTTTCAAAAATGTTTTTTCACACTAACCCACTGTTTGTTCTATACGCATTCGGTAACACTACAATGAGATCTTTCTGCGACTTATCGACACGTCAAAAATATAAAGCTGCTTCTGTAGACAACAATTCACATGTGCACATATGCGGCTTCGAACGCATTCTGGTCCTTCGTGACGTTGGAGCACGGAAGCCCTTACAGGCTGCTTCCCAGTGCAATCCCGGATTAACACTCATTGGTTTACCCAGTTACTGTTAGAGTGGGTGATTCTAGCAAGTGGTGTTAGGACGCGTGTACACTGCATAGCTTTTCGCTCGATTGAAGATTTTGCATCCACTTTTTTTAATCCTGGACTTGGTATCTGAAAGTCGCATGAGCGTAACCCTTTTTGTTCGTTCGTTCATTTTACCCAAATGACGTCTACTGCTAGACAAAGGCTAAGCGGGACCGGTCTTGCGCATCCAGATCATCAGCATCCAAATCAATCAATCCGCAAAAACTTTCATCGCTAATTTCACTTCCATCAAGTCCATTATTTATGTAAGTAAGTTACTATAGAATCCTCTAACATGGAGTGCCCAAGTACCTACTCCATGTTAGTGGTTAAGTAGTGTGGGATAAGTAGAATCAGGAAATTCGAACCGAAAACTGAATTTATAGAAGGAACAATTTCTTTATCCTCTTCAAGGTCCGCTCTCCACTACCTTCAAGATAACAAGCTTACAGCGAAATCCTAGACAATTTGTGTGGGCTCGTATGCGATTTGAAAGTCTAATGTTTCGAAAATAAGCCTCCTATTTGTATGCCCTAGACCAGAATACAACACAACACATGATGACTAGGCTCTTCTTTATGTCGTTCGTATGTCGTCACGTCACGAAGCCGTTACTAGTGCCACTGCACTTCCCAGTCCTGGCCCTAATCTCAGATTAACATTCATTGGGTAACCCACTTAGAGCGGGCATTTCACAGTCGTCACTCGTCGGTATTAGGTTACAGGAGTTCAAATATACACGGTATGTGTATGTTTGGAACTTACAAACTTCGGTTACAGCTTGTATAGTGTGATGGAGTCCTTTTTATTTTTACGGAGAGCTAAAATTTTTCGTGGGGGGCATAGACATTTTGATGGGCACATTGATATTGATCGTCATGTTGTTTCAAGAAGAGAATCGTTGAACTTGCTTTTGAGTATGTAATTATACAACTGTAGCCTCCGCTCCGTAAAGATGTCTTGTCTTCCATAGGATTTAAAAGCTAGTGTAGCTCTCAGAGAATCTACGTCATCGCAAAAACCAACTTTATCTGTCAGGGATTTAGAATGTGGCTTTTAGGTCTAAAGCATCTGAAAGGATAAAGATAGCCATGATATTGCGAACAATAATTTGGAGGGGACATAAACGTTTAGAGGCTTCTCAGCATTTTATTTTTGGACATTTTATTTCGTAACATTTTCGCACTGAAAGTCGACCGCTACTTTTTTTAGTAATTTACTGTTTTATTTTGCTGGTGATACAATTCTTGCTTAAAACAATTTAAAACAATGCTAGACTTTGATATTTTGATTAAATTAATTTGTTTTCAAGTCTCCCTTTGACTATAATAAACTTAATGCATCTTCTTGAGTAAGAAAGTGTCTTTGAATGGATTTTCTCTGCAATTTATTAAACCAAATTAAGTTCCAATTTAAATTTTCGTCTAAAATATACTGAATTCTTCCTTTGAACTCGTTGCCAAAAAGAGTAACGTCGTTTGTCGTATTTTCACACTTCACGAGTCGAGTGCAATCAGAAATACTTGTTTCAAAGGAAAAACTGGCGTGCTGCTGAAAATATAGAATGCAAATTCATATAAATGAACTTTGGTAAAACATAACGGGTGAGCTTTAAAATTTACACAATTAGGTAGGTACCTGGTTTGTTAAGCAATCTTTGTAAGCTTTATAGTCAAATGAATTACAATTAGTAATAGGTAGGTATCAGGCACATAGCGTAGAGAATAAAATTCTTGCTTATTCTGAATCTAACTTTATTCTAACAGCATTCGATTCCTTTTTGTGCAGCAATCTAGAACGCACAGTTACTACAACGTTCATAGCGCAAATGACTATTTTTAGTCATTTAATACAATGAATGCCATGTAGAGATCGTTAGCCTAGTGGGCTGTGTATGAATAAGCGCTGCATTCTAAACAATATATCATCTTGGTAATGACCAGCCTGTATAGATGGTGTTCTTAGAAGGCGTGTAAAGTTGACAGCGCATCAACCTAAAGACTTGCATCTTATGTAGTCGTAATAAATGCGATTTTGCAATAAAAATATGATGTGCTGTAAATTCAACAAAGCCGAGCAAGATAACTGGCGCGTCAGCTGATATTAACTTTTGCAATATGTCGCGGCAACAGCCATCGTTTAGTCAGTCTTAAGTTTCATACTCATGCAGTCACTCTAACAAAATGCACTCACACTTAATTGTCCTTCTTCTAATATAATATGAAATGCTTTTTTATGCGTCTGTCTTCATTATGTGAGATGTTGAAGTTAAAGATAGAAATTATAAGAAAGCTCTAAAATCTACTTGGCCCAAAGGTTGACTGAAAGAGAATGCCAAAATATTGCAAGATTGCATTAAGTTTGCGTTTTGTGGCAGGAAGTACCTATTTATTTAACGCATTAAACGCTACCAACGAGATTTAAGCCGTAGGTAGTTAAATTTTATCAAAATCATCTCCTCAAAAAGTAAAGGCGTGACTCACTTACGAATTTAGACCCCTCAATATGGCGACATTTTTCTAAAGTAGGTTTAAGTATTTATTTATTTTCATCACTCATTACATTTTTTATTTGTAAAAAGGCTGTGACCGTAATCCTGATCAGAAGTTCGAAAATTTTCAATCGAGTCACGTAAGTGAAGTCCACTTTTGCGACTTTGATAGTTTTCTCGAGGAGAAAAAAGTTCTCATAAGTAAGTATAACGTGTTGAATTAACAATTTAATACTTCGACATGTTTTGATTCTGTGGTTTCCATTTCCTTTTATTCTTCCTCATGAAGTTCAAAATCGCCTCATCCCTCACAATGATAAACCACACAAACGAACGTCCATACAAAAGAGCCATAGATCTTAAAGTTGCATCTGACTATAGATTTTTGTTGCAAAAGCGCACCTAAGTACAACTGCACAAGAAACCAAATGTTAAACTTGATGTGCCCTCATCTGTACTGTACCTACGGGGAGGGTCGATG